TTCCGATGCGATGTGAAGTTGGACGACTTAAGTGTTGATTCGCTTTCAACCAGGGTCAGCAGCGGAATCAGCGGAAGGTTCTGAGGTTTGGCAAATTCCGTATTCGCAGGCGAAACCATCACATCAGCGGCTTCAGCGGGGCAAGAGTGCGGTTGGACAAGTCTTCGCGGCTGCTACGCAGCTTGGGCAAAGGCCATTGAAGATACCACGCTTTGGGCTTGAAAAATCATCGGCGCCGAGGCGGGCGTCAACTTCGATGGAACTGACCGCGCTCACTGCTGGTGAGTCCATGTCTGTGGGAGTTGATGTGTCCATGAATGCTGCTGCAGTGAAAGTGGAGGCCAGCGGGTGTGCAGTACCGTACAATGTACAGTAACAATCTCACCAAACAAAACAACAGCAACCATACCATACCATACTAGTACCATACCATTTCATACCATACTGACATACTGACAAATCATCGGCAACGCTGAAGCCTTGCCTTCACGTGATGTTGCAAGGATCTGGTTGCAGCAAACAGTCCATCAACAAAGATCCCGGAGTTCGACCCAGCCAACGGCTCTTCCAGCAGTCGCGAGGAAGGGCAAAAAGCAACAGCGATTGTGGATCAGGAACTTCACGGGTTGTGGAAAACAAATCTGTTCTTCCATTAATGATTTCATATTCATTACTTACTATACTTAGTATAGTAATGAATATGAATAAATATACTGCTACATGTCATTTCTAATAATTCATAATTGTTTATGGATTTAAGGAGGATACCCGAGGGGCACTGTGTGTGCTAAACTTGCACCGTCATTACACCAGCGTTCGGAGACTTACGATCTGTCGCTTCAGCTGTGAACCTAGGGGCCCAATACTATTTGGGCAAGAAGACTGTTTAATGTTAAACGGCTTCAAAAACACAAAAAAAAGCAAACAAACAAAACAAACAAACTTACAAACAAACAAGCAAACAAACAACCGACCAACCAACCAGGACCAACCAACAAACACACACACAAACACACATATGCACACGCACAAGCGCGCACATTGTCTTCTTTTCTATCCTTGCAGGAGGTAAGCAAAAGCAATGCGATGGTGCCTGAGGGGCTAGCCACTACTGGTGGTGGCGGTCATCCTGAGGGTGGTCCCGAGGAGGAGGATGAGTCTCGGGCCAGCTCTGCGGATTCTCTCTTGACTGCAACAACGTTGAGGCTTGGTGAGCAGCCTGGCGCTAGCCCCGTGGACGTTGCTGTGGGAGTGGAAGTTGAAGTTGAATCCAAGCTTGATGGAGGGCCCGCTCCAGCCGCCGCCACCACCGGAGATTCTACTACGACTACGACAAGTTCTGGGCAGCAAACCATCCTGAAGGAATACTTCCGCTCCAATGGTGTCGGAATGACAAAAAAGGACGGAAGGGTTTGCTGCAAAACTACTTGCTCGAACAAAGGCTATGATGCGCCAAGCACTCCACAGTTTCCGCCCAAGCCAATAGTACGTAGCGCAGAGGATATGATGGCATGGGCTGACGACAACATGACCACACTCGAGCAGGTTTTGCCACATGGTGCTCTGCAGCTGTTGGCCGACCGGATGGAAAAAGGCACATATTCTACAGCTTTCAGTGGAGTCGATTGCCCTGGCACAGTCGCTAGGATGCATGTGGTGTCAGGCCATGTTTGTTTGGTGATTTGTTACCTCCAATATTTACTTTACAGGTGCAGGTTGTTGTCAGTCTGGCGTTGGAGGGACCCCACAATACTACGTTTGCCAAGGCGATGATGGTCATTGCAGCAACGCTCTCCTCACGCTTGCATCGACCTTGCAGCAGCCCGCGCCACCTCAGTGCGGTGGAGAGTGACTTGGCTCCAAGCTGCGCTATTAGTTCCGAAGCATTGAGTTTGAACGGGAGCAGCTGCTAGTATTTGTAGTATGTTGTTGTTGGAAAATACATACTAAGCGTACTTATTTATATATGTTCATTATGTTCATTGTGAGGTGGGTCGGTTGGTGAACTTGTAACATCTCAACGCTCAGTCAATATTGGTGAACTGTTGTTGTTATTGTTGCTGCAATGTCGGTAACTGTTCAAAATCTTCTACAGTCCAACTAATAACTACATGTACAAACACAAATACAATCAATGGATGTATTGTCTTGACAAAAAGATGGATTACAAACGACTACCATGATGATGTTGAAGCGTCATTGGGCACGACTACGATATGCCTGTAATAAAAAAAATGCATAGATCCAGGTGGTGGTTCCGGCACCCTGCCGGAAAGGTCTTGGTGGTTCCGGCAGTCTGCCGGAAAGGTCTTGGTGGTTCCGGCAGCCTGCCGGAAAGGTCTT